ACACTGCCGTGTCTTCTGATTCTAGTATAAAATTAAAAGATTATAAATTATTATTAAATTATGTATATAATTAAAAAATTTCAAAAAGAAAATTATTAGTCGAACATGAGAGATAGATTATTTAAAAAATACAAGTTATCTGTGTGACGAATAAAATGATGGTTTGGCTCATAGTCCTCTTTTTATTTTATTTTAATATTTATTAGTATGCAATTAATTTTTTAATTGTTATATTAATTTTATTTTGCAGATATATCATGAAATCGACAAAAATGAAGCTGCTTTTGACACAAGAAATTATTAAATGGCAACAAACTCCACACTCATTAATGATTGAAGAAACACGACAAAAATTGTTAAAATTATATTTATTATATAGAAGAATGAAGAAGAGAGAAGAAAAATGTATTCAGAGAAGATTTTAGGTTCGGCCCATATTTACCGAGATACAAAGAATGTTACAAGGAGCAAGCAACAATCTCATCAGAGAAATGAAAATGTTTGATCCAGATAAATATATTGAATATTTAAGAATAGATGCATCAAGATTTAACGAATTATTAAATTTAATTAAACCAAAAATTGAAAAACAACATGCAGTAAGAGTACCGATTTCTGCAGCAACTCGTCTACAAATATGCCTACGATATTTAGCATCAGGAGATACAATGACTTCAATTTCATTTGCATTTAGAGTGGCAGTAAATACTGTCTCTAAAATTATTAGTGAAACATGTGTAGCTATTTGGGACGTTTTAAGTGTCCAAGTTTTCCCAGAAATCAATAAAAATCTTTGGAAAAAGAAAGCAGAAGAGTTTGAGACACTATGGAATTTTCCACACTGTATTGGAGCTATTGATGGAAAACATCGAACTTCAGGTATTAGATATATTAAAAATGATATTAATATAATTAAATAGTTATCAATAATAAGCATTGAGATTAATATTAATTACTTCTAAATTCTATTTCCATTTTTTTATAGACTCCGCCTCATAGTGGCTCTATGTTTTATAATTATAAAGGCACTCACAGTATTGTGCTATTAGCCGTAGCAGATGCTAATTGTTGTTTCACTATCGTTGACATTGGAGCAGAAGGAAGACGCAGTGATGGCGGTATATTTAAAGAAAGTGAGCTTGGACATTGACTAGAAAATCATGATCTTCATGTGCCGGAACCAGAGTCACTTGTAGAAAATGGACATAAATTGCCATATGTCATAGTCGGTGATGAAGCATTTGCCTTAACTTCTTATATGTTACGACCATATCCTCGTTCAAGTAATTTAAATTTGGAAAAAAAGTATTTAATTATAGACTCAGTCGGGCTCGAAGAGTAATCGAATGTGTTTTCGGAATTTTATCGGCAAAATGGCGAATTCTTCGAAGACCATTGATAACTACCGTAGAGACTGCAATTTCTATAGTCCAAACAACAGTTTGTTTGCATAATTTTTTAATGGAAAAAGATTTAAACGTTTCTTTAGAACAAAGACAATATGCTACCGACATGACTTTAGAAGACATGGATAATTCTAGCCAAATGCTACAGTTTGAAAATACAAATGTTTTTCTACGAGGTGGACAAATTCGAAATGAATTCACTGAATATTTCTGTACTCACGGAGTTATTGAACAGCAGTGGGATAAAGCATATAATAATGACTTTTAATATAGAGGAAAGGCCCCTATTATGAGATAATAATAATTATATATGTAATAATAATCATTTTTTCTAATATTTAGTACATATTTAGTATAATATAATTTTTTTTTACATGAAGGCATATATTTAAATTATAATTAAAATCTTTTTATTAGAATTTTTCTGATAAAATAAAGTATTGTAGATATACAGAATAATGACACGTTGCAATAATAAGAGATAATCCATTTTATTTTATTTCAATCTGTATACAATAGCAACCAACATTATAGTAGATTTGAAAAGCAAATAAGACAATTTTTCTTTAAGTAATATCTACCATATACAGAAAGCATCGTTATGCACTGTGAATAATCTGTTGTAACAATGACAGGAACATTATTTCGTATCATAAAGAATAACATAAATTCTACAATAAAATAAACAATTAAATGAACAACATAATAATTATTGGTTTGCTATTTTACAATGTCATTAGAATTGCAAAAAAAATGTCTATACATATGCTTCCATATAACATAGTCATAGTGGCTACATTTACACCATGCATTTAGGCCGCGGCCTATACAATAGATGTCCTTGTTTATCTTGTAGGTTAAACAAAGACACCTATCGTATAGGTCGCGGACTAAGCGCACGGTGTAAACGTATACCCATTATAAATGGTTTAATTATATTTTAACTTAATATACGATATAATTTCTGCAACTCAATAATATTGTACTCTATTTCACGTTATTATTACTAATAAAAATAACTTTGGTGCACATAACAAATTGTACGCTTTAAGTAACTACTATATATTACGACTGATTTGCGCAAAAATGTGGGCCAAAATATAAAAATTAAAATTTGCGATTCTCTTTTCTTATAAGAATAGAATAATCAAAATAAAATCAATTTAAATACACAAGTTGGCACATTTGTACATTTGCCTCACATGACGTGCGCTGTAAATCACCATAATTACATACAACATATGATAAAAATGGTTGACAATTATTTTTCACTCTCGCGACGGAATAAAATTGGAACAAAGATTTAAAAGTTGGCTCAGCGTTGTATATATCGATACAGAACAAAAGTTTTCGGAGTTAAGTAAACGGAGTATTGTTCTGCAATAAAGTAAACGCTACAGGTATCTTCAAACGATACTATAAAAACGATCTTGACAATCCTCAAATTAGATGAACTAAAAATCGCGGATGTCATTAATGTATAAATATATCGAAAACTTCCGGCAAAATTTCATATATATCTGCAGTGTATTTTATCACTGGGGACATCTGATGTTCGAATGAGGATCTTTTTCTGTACATTGTGACTTTGAATATTCTTCTAGTTTCATCTAATATACATCTCGTATAATATGTATATGTGTATTGTTACGTCCAGCGGACTCACGCTGCCTCTTTTCTTTTTCTCACGGAGACCTAAGGGTTATCAACCCCTAGGACTTCTAAGAAAAGTAATAAAAATCTTTTCCCATGAGAAAATTTAAAGTAAAAAGACAGTATCTACATTAATGCCAGATAAAATA